TGCTGGATCATGAAGATTCTTTGTGCAATACAGTTGAAATCAGTGGTGCAGATTTTAGATGGTTTTTCATTTATTGATTATAGTCTCTTTAGAGTGTGTGTATGTATATATGTATAGCCAAACCTTCTTTTTTTTTTTTCTTTAAAAAGGTTACACATACCTCATGTTCTAGGGGGGGGCTACGTTTTTGCTTTCTCCTTACTTTCTGTGTAGTGTCAATGCCCCCCCAGTACAAATCTCCCCAACAGAGACACTGCAAAAGCAAATTGAGAGAAGTCTAACCCTTCCCTATGCTATCTAAAACAGAAAAACAATGGTTTTGCCTAGAGAGACACTTTAAAGCACTAAATGCATATATGTGAACTGTTTCCATGCCAAGTAATTTGTAATTCAGTGATGATGTTTATTCATTTACAATGATTCAGGATGCAAAAAGCTGTAGCAGTGAAGTGGTGCATTTGTCTGGTTGGCAGTATGACATTGCATGAATTGTTGCACTGGCTGAACAGAAATAAAAATCAATTTGGCAAATAAAACTGTTCACATATATGCGTGTGGTTTGCTGCTTTCCTTTTTTTAACACAGAAGACCTAACTTCCACTAACTGACATTTAAAGATTATATGTAAAAATATTTATCTTCCGTTCATTGAAGGACACATCGGAGATCTTGATCTCGAACTGATGGGATGTTATCAGAAATCTTACAGGAGGCGTGAGTACTTTTTGCTGAAGCTTATGAAGAATAAGGAGCCTTGGTGTATCAGGGTCAAGATCTTTGATAATATCCAATCGATTCGAGTTTACGATCTCTGTTGTGTCCTTCAATGAATGCAGAAAAAAATAGACAAAAAAATAAAATAAGAGTGTATGAAGAAATATTTTTTTATTTATAAGGCAATGCCTGTCAGCTCAGGTTGCAGGTTCTAGGAGACTTGAACTTCATATAGTCATGTCAGCTAAGCTTGTTCCTGCCTATGTATTTTACCACACCAAAGATAACCAACGGCCCTGCCTTTTGTCACCTTTCTTTAAAAGTGTTTAATTAGGAAATACTTAGGCTGGGTTCACACCTGAGCGGGTTTTTTTATGCTCGTTTTGCAGCTGGGTTTTTTTCGCGTTTTTTCGTTCAGTGAAACACGCGTTTCACTGGCGGTATGATTTTTTTTTTCCCTTTTTTTATTTTCTCTATTTAAAAAAAAAAAAATCATTTTTTAGTTTTACCTTTAAACTTCCCGCCGGCTCCGCCCCCCCTGCGACGCAGCCGGAAGTCGGCAGCCGCCGAAGACACAGCGGGGATCGCGGACAAGGTAAGACCTGTACGCTGTATTCCCGAGTGTGGCTCGGGGTTACCGCTATGTTAACCCTGATCCACACTCGGGAATACCAATGGAAAAGCACGGCAAAACGCCCCAAAGAAGCTCATGTACTTCTTTGGGCGTAGGGCGTTTTGCACCGCGTTCCCACACGCTGTAAAACGCCCAGGTGGG